TTTTCTCTCTCCTTTTCCCTCCTTTTCTTCCTTTTCCCCCTCTTTTTATCCCTCTTTTTCTCTCCCCTTTCCCCCTCTTTTTATCCCTCTTTTTCTCTCCCCTTTCCCCCCCCCATGGCACCATTTCCCAGGTGAATCCAGCCGGGGGTGGTGGCCTTGGGGACAATGACCCCTTTCCCAGGCTCTGTCCCACCTCGCTGTCCCTTCCCAGGCCGTGAACATCGTTCCCCTGACCCCGATGTCCCTGGAGGCCCCGGAAGAGGGGGAGAAGGAGGAGGACCCCCTGATGAGGTGACACTCCTGGGATTGTCCCTTGTCCCCTCCCAGGCTCCCTCAGTACAAACACACAATCCCTGCCGGGATCTGTGGAGGAGCAGGAAGTTCCCAGGATACTCGGGGACATCCAGGCCAGTCCCGTGCTGCAGGGAGGGCCGGGGTGGCACTGGGCTGGCCCAGGGGACACTGGGGACACGCTGGGGACAGTCCCCTGATGGAATTCCCGGGATTCCCACAGCCGGCAGGGTGAGGTGCTGGCGGGCCGCAAGGATTTCCGGATGAACGTCTCCATCCAGCACGCCTCTGGCACCTTCCTGCAGGACCTGGCCGGGCAGGAGCAGCACCTGGGCACGGCCACAGGTACCTGGGGGGGGCTCCGGCTGTCGCTGTCACTGTCACTGCCGGCAGCTCAGCTGTCACTGTCCCCTGCAGCAGCTCCGGGGTCCCGCCCTGCAGAGTGTCCCAACGCTGGCTCCACCGCGGCCGTGGTGAGGGCACTGAGCTTCTGCGAGGAGGCAGGTGAGGGGTGGCACCTGCCCAGGGCTGTCCTGGTGTCCCTGGGGTGTGTCCTGGAGTCCCTGGGGTGTGTCCTGGAGTCCCTGGGGTGTCCCCTGGTGTCCCTGGGGTGTGTCCTGGTGTCCCTGGGGTGTCCCCTGGTGTCCCTGGGGTGTCCCCTGGTGTCCCAGCTCTCCCCTGGTGCTCCGAGGTGTCCTGGAGTCCCTGGGGTGTCCCCTGGTGTCCCAGCTGTCCCCTGGAGTCCCTGGGGTGTGTTCTGGTGTCCCTGGGGTGTGTTCTGGTGTCCCAGCTGTCCCCTGGTGTCCCAGCTGTCCCCTGGAGTCCCTGGGGTGTGTTCTGGTGTCCCAGCTGTCCCCTGGAGTCCCTGGGTGTCCCCTGGTGTCCCTGGGGTGTGTCCTGGTGTCCCTGGGGTGTGTCCTGGTGTCCCTGTGTCCATCCAGGGTGCTGCAGAGGAGGGTGAGGGGTGAATGATTTCATCCCTGACAGGAGGGGCTCTGCTCCCAGGGAACAGGGACAGGAGGAGAGGGATTTTGGGGAATTCTCTCCTGGAAAGGGCTGTGCACTTGGGGACATGGGCAGTGGTGGCCCTGGCACTGCTGGGAACGCTTGGATTTGGGTTCTGAGGGATTTTCCAACCCAACCAACTGCACCAGTCCCTGCTCCTGCCCTCTGCTGCCTGGCAGGAGAAACTCCTGGGGGGATTCCTTGGCAGACAGGGTGGGAATGGGGGGTCCTGGAAGCTTCTCCACCCATTCCCACCCCTCCAGGTGCTGCAGGAGCTGACGATGATGACGTTCCTGAGGCCCTGGGGGATGACATGGAAGTGACTCCGGTCCCTAAGGAACACATCGAGGCCCAGAGGGTCTGTGAGGGCAGGGCCTTGGGGGGCTGCCTGTGCTGCTTCCCTGGAGCCCCCCACTCCTTCCCTGGAGCCCCCCACTCCTTCCCCAGCCCCCTGGATCCCCCCCCAACCCTTCCCTGTCCCTCTCTGTGTCCCCCCAGAGCACGCCCCGGACCCGGGGGTACATCCTGCGGGAGAGACCCCCCAGCCAGGACCCCAAACCCCACAGCAAGGTAAGGGGGGCCCTGGAGCCAGGGAGATCCCAAATCCGGGCAGGATGGGAGCCCTGGGCTCCCCCAGACCCCCTGCCCATCCTCACCTCTGTGCCAGGAGGAGCCAAATCCGTGGCAGAGCCTCGACCCCTTTGGAGACTCCGAGGAGAAGCCTTTTAGGAGAGGTATTTTTGGGGAAAATGGGGGGCTCTGGGGCAGCAGGGACAGCACAGCCCCTGGTGGGTCATTCATCCCTGGCCACTTGTCCCTCAGTGTCCCCAACCCCATGGGATGGTCACTCCTGCTCCCACAGGGGGACATTGCCAGCCCCACTGGACATCCTCAAGTGTCCCTGTCCCCACCTTAGGTCATTCCCAGCCCCGTGACATCCAGAGGGGCCCTGTCCCCTTCCTAGCCCCTCGTGGTGGCCACACACCCGGTGTCACCCGTGTCACCTGCAGGGAGGCCCTTCCTGGTGCCACACGGCCTGGATGACATCGTTGGGGGCAAGAGGAAGAGGAGGGGCCCGAGGAAGCTGCAGGATTTCATGAGATGGTTCTCTGCAGCCTGTGAGTGATTCCCACGGGATCCTGAGGGATCGAGATCCAGAAGGATTCCCAAACCTTTAACAGGGATTTAACAGCCCTGGGCATGTGGCACTTGGGGACACGGGCAGGGGTGGCCCGGGCAGTGCTGGGGAGGGGGGGACTCGATGGGCTCAGGGGGCTTTTCCAATGTTCATAAATCCATGGAATTCCCACCCAATGATTGTTCCTGATCTGCTCCCCCCAGACAACAACGTCACGGAGGGGAAAAGCAGGAGGAGGGGCCCCACGTTCGCAGGTGAGGGGGACACGGGCAGGGACACCCCAAAACTGGGGGGGGGACAGCAGGGAATGGATCCTGCAGTGGGGTAGGAAGCAGGGGAAGGACACCCCAAAGCCAGGAAAGGGGAGCCTGGGATCCCTGCGGGGGAGGGTCTCTGCTCTTAGGGGGTGCAGTTCCCCCATTCCCAATCCCCCATTCCCAATCCCCCATTCCCAATCCCCCATTCCCAATCCCCCATTCCCAATCCCTGCAGACCTGGAGGTGCTGTACTGGCGCCACTTCAAGGAGCGGATGGCGGCGCACAGGAAGCTCCACAGCTCGAGGGTGAGTGGGGTGGGGTGGGGGCTGGGGGGGTCTGGGGAGCTCCAGCACCCCCTCCCCACGCTCTGGGGGTGCTCGGGGGGGCTCAGGGCTGTTCCTCCCCCCAGGAGCCGCGGTGGGAGCCGGAGCAGGAGCAGGAGCAGGAGCAGGAGTGTGAGGCCGACAGCGAGGAAGGGGCAGGTGCTGGAACCCAAATCCCCAAACCCCTCCTGCCTCCCTGCTGGGGGCACTGAGGGGGGCCCAGGGGGCACTGAGGGGTCCCCAGGGGGCACTGAGGGGTGTCCCCATCCCAGCAGATGACGATTTTGTGGAGAACGAGGACGTGGAGCCCGAGGCGCCGGAGGAGCTGGGGGGAGGATCCCTGGGTGAGCTGCTGAACCTTCCCTCCCGAATTCCTCACCCCATCTGTCCCTGAGGGACCCCTGTCCCTGTCCTCTGGGTGCTGCCCCCCGTTCTGGTGACCCCCTTTTCCCACAGACCCCCCCGAACCCGGATACGAGGAGCTGGTGCGCAGGAACGTGGTGGGTGCTGGTGTGGGGATGTGGGGGTGACTCTAGAGGGTGGGGGTGTCCCCAGGAGTACTGGGGTGTCCCCAGGGGTGCTAGGGTGTCCCCATTCCTGTCCCTGTTGTCCCCAGGAGCTGTTCATGGCCAGCTCCCAGAAGTTCGTGCAGGAGACGGAGCTGTCCCGGCGTATCCGGCACTGGCAGGAGCACGTGGAGCCACTGCTGCAGGAGCAGGCAGGACCCCCGGCATGGGCAGGGACCCCCGGCATGGGCAGGGACCCCCGGCATGGGCTGGGACCCCCGGCATGGGCTGGGACCCCTGGTCTGGGCACTACTGAGCCCCTCTGCTCACACCTGAACACCCTGTACCTGCCCCCCACCCTGAACCCTCTCTGCCCTTCCTTGCCCAGCCCTGAGACCCCCATACCCCCTACCCACCCCAACCCCTCCCCGTCCCCCCATACCTGCAGGAATCCCGTGCATTCCGTGTCCGTGGGAACAGGCTGGCACTGGCTGGTGGCACTTCCTGTCCCCTGCTGTCCCCAGGAGCCCCATGGCCCAGTCTGTGTCCATGGGAACAGGCTGGCACTGGCCGGTGGCACTCCCTGACCCTCCCTGTCCCCTGCTGTCCCCAGGAGATCCGTGCCTCCTTCGATGTCCGAGCCTATGGGATGGCCCTGACCGAGCGCTGTGCCGAGCAGGGCCAGTGGCACTCGCTGGCCAGCCTGGTGGCCGGGCAGCCCCCGTTCGAGGTGTGCCGCTACCTGCTGGCCTCGCTGCAGCTGGTAAGGCTTTGGGGGGTTCCCTGGGGGGGTCTCTGGCTGTGCCAGGACCCTCGGGCCACCCCCTGTCCCCTCCTCAGGCCAACGACGCGGAGGTGGAGCTGGCGCAGGACGCGGGGCTGGAGGAGGCGCTGGACACGGTGCGGCTGCGGCGCCTCTCGGCCCGCCCGGCACACGAGAGGTTCCAGAACCTCCAGCTGCCCTCCCAGAGCAACCCCGGCCCCCAATAAACACCCCCACTTTGATAAGGAAAGGTCTCTTCTCTGGGGGATGGTGGGGGGTCACTTCAGTCACCTGCACAGGGACCCTCAGCCCATGGGGAGGGGTCTGGCGGGGCTACAAGGGGATCCCTCTGGCCACTTACCCTTTGTCTCCCTTCTTTTGGGGAGGGGTCTGGGGTCACTTCAGTCACCTACACAGAGACCCCCACCTCATGGGACACTCCTAGGGGGCTGTCAGGTGTCCCCTCCTCCCATGTCACACACCTGGAGGGTGTGGGCTCTGTCAGGGCTCTGTCCCTCCTCACCATGTGACACACCTGAGGGGCACTGGGGGCTGTCAGGTGTCCTCTCCCTGCCATGTCACACCCATGTGACACACCTGAGGGGCACTGGGGGCTGTCAGGTGTCCTCTCCCTGCCATGTCACACACCTGGAGAGTGTGAGCTCTGTCAGAGCTCTGTCCCTCCCCACAGGACACACCTGGGGGCTGCCAGGTGTCCCCTCCCTGCCATGTCACACCCATGTGACACACCTGGGGGACACTGGGTGCTGCCAGCTGTCCCTCTCCCCCACATCCCACCCCCGTGTCGCCCCAAATCACCACAAACCCCGCTCCGGGTGGGCGCCACCGCCGTTTATTCCCCTCCCGCGGGGGGCAGCGGCTCGTACGTGTCCATGTGCGCCCTGACGCTCCGCGCCAGCTCCTCGGCCGTGCGCGAGCGGCCGTAGCAGTCCCGGAAAATCCCGTCGGGATCCACGAGGAACGTGAGCACCGAGTGATCCACCACGTAATCCCCGTCAGCATCGCGGGGCCCGGTGCTCACGTAGACCCGGAATTTGGCCGCCGCCTCCCGCACCTGCTCGGTGGTGCCGGTGAGCCCCAGGAGGCGCGGGTGGAAATCGCGCAGGTACCGCGCCAGCGCCGCCGCGTCGTCGCGCTCGGGATCCACGGTGACAAAGAGCGGCTGCAGCGGCGGCAGCGCCGGGTCGCGCTCCAGCAGCTCCACGGCTCGGCTCAGCTTCTCCAGCTCCTCGGGACACACGTCCGGGCAGTGCGTGAAGCCGAAGTAGAGCAGCACCCACTGTCCCAGGAAATCCGCCTTGCGCCGCGGTGTCCCCGACGTGTCGCACAGCTCGAAGTCGCCCTGGCCCAGTGACAGCTCGCGGAGCTGGCGGAGGCGGCGGGCGCGCTGCTGCTGCTCCTTTTGGTGCCGCAGGTACAGCCAGCCCGCGGTCGCCACGCCCGCCACGGCGCTCGCCACCGCCAGGCGCTGCGGCAGCGGCAGGCGAGGGTTGGGTGGCGGCACGGAGGACAGGCGGCGTTTGGGGTGGCACAGGGCTGGGCACAGCTGCGGGATGGGGCGCAGGGAGCGCAGCATGGCTGGGGGGTGTGGGCAGGGGGAGAGGGGGTCAGGGGGGTGAGCTGCCCCTGTGTGTCACCCCCGCCCCAGGGTGGGTTTTGACCTCAGGCCTGTGCCCCGAGTGCACTCTGAGCCTTCGTCCCACCCCTCTTGCTGCTCCTGGACCCCCCATTCTGTACCCCAAATGTCCCCTGACCCCTCATCCCACCCCTCCTGATGCTCTTGGACTCCCCACTCTGTCCCGCAAATATGCCCTGTCCCCCACCCTGTGTCCCGCAGCTCTCGGACCCCCAGACCTTCACCCCAAATGCCCCCGACCTCCACCCTGTGTCCTGCTGCTCTCGGACCCCCAGACCTTCACCCCAAATTCCCGCTGACCGCACCTCCTGCGGCCCTTTGGGCCCCCATCCCTGTCCCTGCTATTCTTGTACCCTTCACTCTGCCCCTTACACGCCCCCTGCCCCCTCATCCCCCCCGCCATGTCCATTCCCCGCTGACCTTTGCCCTGTGACCCCTCGCCCGTCACAGCCCGTCCCGCCCGGAGCGCCCGCGCCGCCGCCGCCGCCGGAACCGGAAATAACGAGAGGGGGGGCGGAGCCAAGGCACGAAGGGGCGTGGTCTTTATTTAACCCAGCCACTGCGGGGCGTGGTCGAAGAGGAAGGGGCGTGGTCAAACGGTGTCGTAGCCTCCTGCGCACCCCCCGCTTCCACCACTAGGTGGCGCCACCGCCACGCGCGGCACCCTCAGAATCGAGGGCCGTGAATCGCGACATGTCCCCGGTATCGCGACCGTCGCGGTTTATTGTGAGTCCCGGAGGGGTCCCGAGGGCAGGATGGTCTCGGCCACCAGCGGCGGCAGGTCCCGGGGGGGCTCCGGGCCGAGGCACAGCGCGTCCTGCAGCTCCCGCCGGCCCTCAGCGCTGAGGGTCCCCTCGTGGTGCACCCGCAGCCAGGGCTGGCCTGAGGGAAGGGGACACAGGGGTCATCGAGGGGCTCTGATCCCCCCCCAAATATCATCCCACCCAACCGGGGTGCACCCCCAGCCAGGGCTCGTTTGGGGAAGGGGACACGGGGGTGGTCGGGGGTCTCCTCACCTGCCCGCAGGTGCTGCCCGGTGCCCACCAGCAGCTCGGCGCCCACACGGAGGTTCACGGGGTCCCCGGCCCGTGACCGGCCCGCGCCCAGGTGGTGCAGGACCCGCGCCAGGGGCAGCGCCCGCACCTGCTGCACCCAGCCTGGGGGAAAGGGGGTCAGGGGGACATGGGGGGGTCAGGGACATGGGGGGGGCACAGGGACATGGAGGAGGACAGGGACATGGGGGGTAACCCCAGCCTCAGGGGCACTTGGGGAGCAAGAGGACACAGGGAATTGGGGAGGGGACATGGAGTGGGGAGCCCCAAACCTTGGCGGGACAGGGACATCACGGGAATGCCCAATATGGGGGCGTCAGGGACATGGGGGACACAGCCCGGGGATGTGGGACAAGGGGCACGGGTGAGGATCCTCAGAACACGGGATTGGGAATCAAGGACCCCCGAGGTGCAGGGTATGGGGGTTTGAGGACCCCCAAGCACAGAGGATGGGGGACAGGGGGGTGCAGGTGAGGACTCCCAGGGTGGGGGGAATAATCCAGGGAAGCCTTGAGCATCCCGGGGAGGGGTGAGGGTGGGAAGGGTAGGGAGGGGATGGGAATGGATGGGGACAGTGGGAATGGGGGGACCCTCACCCCCCCGGAGGGATACGGGACGAAGGGAGGGTGGGGGATTTGGGGTGGGGGGTTTGGGGTGGGGGTCCCCCCTGACCTTCCTGCGGCGCGGGCAGCTCCTCGCAGACCTTGGCTTCACCCAGGAGCTGGCGGCGCTGGGCGGGGGTCCCGGCACAGAGGTCCCGGGCGGTGTCGGGGGGCACCCCCTGCGCCCCCAGCATGGCCTCGAACTTGCCCAGGGCCGAGCCATCGTCCAGAGCCCGGGCCAGGCGCTCACGGCCCTTCTCGGCCTCCTGCTCCAGCCCGCACTGCCACAGCAGCACCCCGCCTGCACCCCGAAACCGGACACGGGCTGGGACCCCCACAGGAACCCCCAAACACCGCCCCACAGCCCAGTGACCAGGTGTCACAGGTCGGGGGGCCGTCCCCTTTCCTTATCCCCCCGTGTCCCCAGTGTCACACTGACCCAGGACAGTGACCAGGTGTCACAGGTCGGGGGGCCGCCCCCTTTCTTTGTCCCCCGTGTCCCCAGTGTCACACTGACCCAGGACAGTGACCAGGTGTCACAGGTCGGGGGGCCGTCCCCTTTCCTCATCCCCCCGTGTCCCCAGTGTGACACTGACCCAGGACAGTGACCAGGTGTCGCAGGTCGGGGGGCCGCCCCCTCTCCTTGTCCCCCCGTGTCCCCAGTGTCACACTGACCCAGGACAGTGACCAGGTGTCGCAGGTCGGGGGGGCCGCTCCCCTGCAGGCACTCGAGCGCCTCCAGCACCTCCAGCGCGTTGCCCACGGCGCGGCCCAGCGGCTGCTCCATGCGGGTCAGCAGGGCCGCAGTGCGGATGCCCAGGTGTGTGCCCACCTCCACCTACGCGGGGACACGCACGGGCTGCTGGGGACAGCGAGCGGGCACGGACAGGGGCCAGGGACAGAGACAGAGGGCAGGGACGGGGACACGTGGGGACGGGGACAGGGATGGACAGGGACAGGGGAGGGATGGGGACACGTGGGGATAGGGACAGCAGTCAGGGATAGGGGACAAACAGGGACAGGCAGGGACAGTGGGAAGGAGGACAGGGACAAGGGACGGCGAGCAGGGACAGAGACGGGACACGTGGGGACACGGAGAGCCAGGGGCAGGGTCAGGGACAGGAGCAAGGACAGGGACAGCGGTGGGGCAGAAGAGAGGACAGGAATAAGGACAGTGGGAGGGGACAGCGGGCAGGGGTCGCGGGGGTCCCCGGGGTGTCACCAGGCTCCGCGCCAGCTCCCGCGCGCTCTCCTGGGTGGGGTACAGAGCTGCGCCCCCGAACTTGACATCGAGCACCAGCGCCGAGAGCCGCTCCGCCGCCTTCTTGCTGAGGATGGAGGCTGGGCCGGGCAGGGGGGGAGCGGTCACCGCCTGCGCCCCCTCCCCGCGCCCCGCCTGGCCCCGTGTCCCCGTGTGCCCGTACCGGTGATGAGAGGCAGGCTGTCCACGGTGGCCGTGACATCGCGCAGCCCGTAGAGCACCCGGTCCGCGGGCACCAGCTCCGTGCTCTGCCCCACGATGCAGCAGCCCACCCGCTCCAGGATGTGCAGCATCTGCGGGCACCGGCGGCACCCCGTTGTCACCCCAGGGACGCCCCATGGGCATCCGCACCCCACCGGCACCCAAAACTCACGGGTACCCCATCAGCACCCATCCTTCCCCTTCAGACACCATCAGCACCCCAGGGGAACCCCACATCCCATTGCCACCTCGCCAGTGGCACCCCATGGACACCCACACAACCCACGGGCACCCCACGGGCATCCCACATCTCCTCCTGCGCCCTTTTAGGACCCCGTGAGAACCCACAACCCATTGGCACCTGTACCCCACCAGTACCCCAGAGACACCCAAGCCCCTTTTCGGACCTCATGACACCCCATTGTCACCCCACACCCCATGGACACCCCACCGGCACCGCCATCACCCCCCCATTGTCACCCCCGCCCCTCTGCAGCCCCGGTGCCCCCGAGCCCGGTTCCTGCAGGGTGTGGAGGTGCCCGTGGTGTCCCCGTCCCTCACCCCCCGGGGTCACCTCCTCGGGGCTCTGGGAGACTCGGAATCCGGGAATGGCCTCCAGCTTGTCCAGGGTGCCCCCGGTGTGGCCCAGCCCGCGCCCGCTGATCATGGGCACCTGCGGGAGGGCACAGGTGGGCACAGGGATTCGGGGACCTCCCCACGTCCCCGCCTCACCCCTGGGTCCCCCTCACCTTGCAGCCGCAGGCGGCCAGCGCGGGGGCCAGGGCCAGGCTGACCTTGTCCCCAACGCCACCGGTTGAGTGCTTGTCCACCACCAGCCCTTGCCAGGCGGGCGGCCAGGCCAGAGTCCGGCCAGAGGTGGCCATGGCCTGGGTCAGGGCCAGTGTCTCACCCGCGTCCATGCCCCGCAGCCGGATGGCCATCAGCATGGCACCTGCGGTGACAGCGACCGGCCACATGTCACCTCCCCGCTCCGCTCCCCTGTCCTCAGCCTGACCCGTGCCCGCAGTCAGATGCCACCAGCATGGGGACACGCGGGGCCACCTCAGTGCCCTCCCCAGGACTCCCGCCCGCCCACATCCCCTGGCCGTGACCCTCTGCCACATCCTGGGCACCCCCCCGGCCTTGTCCCGTGCCCAGGACCCCCCGGCACATCCCGGGGTTTTCCTTGCTGTCCCTCGCACTGCTGGGACCGCCCCTGCCCCCGTGTCCCCTTGAGCCATGCGTGTCACTTCCTGGCCATGTCCCCCCGGCTCTGTCCCCGTCCCTGGCCGTGTCCCCCCTTCACGCCCCGTCCTCTGTCCCCGGAGTGTCCCTCCCGCACCGATCTGTCCCTGCTGCGCGGTGCCCTCGGTGACGCCGCTCACGAAGCTCCGGATCTCGGCGTCCTCCAGGCGCTCCCCGTCCCGCTTCTTGCGGATCAGGGTCGGGAGAGGGGTCGGGGCGTCCATCCCTGTCCCGGTTTGGGACAGCTGGCAGCGCGATGTGGCAGCCGTGACACCCCGAAGTGACACCGATGGCACCCGAACCCACACGGCCGCGCCCCGGTTGCTCAGAGCCGTCACCCCGCGCCAGCACGGCCACACCCGGTTCCCGCACGGCCACACCCGGTTCCCGCACGGTCACTGCCGGTTCCCGCACGGCCGCGCCTCCCCCGGCGCTGCCGGGACCTGCCCGTGCCTGTGCCCGTGCCCGTGCCCGGCCTGGCCCCGTGCCCGGTGCCCGCTGCCCTCGAGGCGGCTCCGGCCGTGGACTTTGAGCCCCGGGCAACGAGCGGGGCACGGGAGAGGCCGCCGCGAGGGGTGACACGGGGGTGACACGGGGTGAGGGTGACACGAGGGGTGGCCCCCCGGTCACTGTGGACACTCGCAGGTCGTGCCCGGGGTCTCTGCCCTGCCCAGCCCACAGATCCCTCAGAGCGGGGAGGAGTCGCCAAGGCGCGGTGATGACGCGTGTCCCCTCCCTGGTCGGTGTCCCCAGAGCCTCCAAAGCCCCGAGGTCCTGGCTGGGATGGGATAATGGGATAATGGGATGGGACTGGAGAAGGGAGAGGGTTGGGATCACATCCCTCTCCCCTGGCACGTCCCACCCCACCGCGGGTCTCCCTCGGGCTGGGCAAGGGGAGGTTTTAGGGGGCCCCCCGCCCCCCCCCCCGAGACGCAGCGGGACAGAAGGAGAGCGAGCGAGCGAGTGCTGCTGCAGTTCGTGTTTGTCACAGGCTGGCAGTGTCGCCGCTCCCCTACAGGGGCGAGTCCCTCATGGGGATCACATTTTCCGAGTGGCGCACGCCGAAGGTCTGTCCTTGTTTCTGGCCCTGCGGGGGGACAGAGGCGGTGTGAAGGTGAGGGGCTGTGGGTTGCTGTCCCCCAGCCCTGTCCCTGTCCCCGTCCCCGCTCACCTGCTTGGGGCTGTAGTCGCTGGGGCCGGGGGTGTGTAAGATGGGGCGGGGGCGGCTCCGCCCCGCCATGGTACAGCGCGGGGCCCGCGCCATGTACACATTGGTGTCCACGGTGCTGTATCTGCTGGGTCCTGGGGTCTGCGGGGACAGGAGCGGCTGACGCGACCTCCTGGACCCCAGTACCCCGGACCCTCGGTACCCGGACCCCCTGCACCCCACACCCTTGGTACCCCAACCCCCCAGACCCCTAGCACCCCGGACCCTCGGTACCCCAGCCCCCCCGGACCCTGATACCTCAGATCCCAGCCCCCCTGCACCCCAGGCCCTTTGCACCTGATCCCCCTGCCCCCCAATCCCCCGGGGCACCCCCGGTCCCCACCTTTCTCTTGTCTTCGAACATGCTGGGGCCTCTCCCTGTCATGGTGCACTGGGGGGCCGATCTCTTGTTCACCAGGTGAGGGCCCATCACGGGTGGCAGCTGGTAGCTGGCAGGGCCTGGGGGGGACACGGCTCAGGGGGACACGGGGGCTTCCTCCTCCCACGGGCGGGGAGGGAGGGCTCAGCCCCGGGGTGCTGGGGGGGCTCAGCCCAACCAGGCCTTGTTGGGGAGCCCAGTCCGGCCCAGGGGGATGGGGGGTCCCGGCTCAGGGGTGAGATGGAGGAGGAGATTAGGGGGTCCTGGCCTAAGTGGGATAATGGAGTCCCAGCCCAGGTGGGATAATGGGGGTCCCAACCCCGGAGGAGATTAGGGGATCCCAGCCCAGGTAGGATGTTGGAGGTCCCAGCCCAGGAAGGATAATAGGGGTCCCAGCCCAGTCCTGGAGGAGATTAGGGGGTCCCAGCCCAGGTGGGATAATGGGGGTCCCAGCCCAGGTGGGATAATGGGGGTCCCAGCCCAGTCCAACACAGTGGCAATGATGGGGATCCCAGCCCCAGGGAGATGACGGGGTCCCACCCCGGGGGACGCGGGGGTCCCATCACGCCCCCCATCCCTCACCTGGTGTCTGCGGGGGTTTGTCCTGGCGGCCACGGGACCCCACAGAGCAGGCGGGGGCCGAGGGCAGGGTCATCCTGTCGGCCAGCTCGGGGGAGTAATGGGCTACAAAGGGCGAGGGGGGGTCAGCGCCACTAGCCCATGGGGGGGGGGGGTCCCGTCCCCGGGACAGCCGCCCCTCACTCACCTGGCCCAGGTGTGTCGCTGGCCCGGCGCTGGCGGGCCCGGCCGCCCATGGTGAAGGCGGGGGCGCGGTCCCGGCCCCGGGCGGTGACGCCGGTGGGCACCAGGTACTGGGGGCCGGGGGAGCGCGGCTGCTCGGGACCCCCCAGCCTCAGGCCGAAGCTGTAGGCGGGAGCGCGGGGCGTGGAGGGGTCGCGGTGCTCGGAGCCTGGGGGCGGGCAGCGGCTCGGTGGGACCTGGTCCTGCTGGCTCCGGTCCCCCTCGGGCCCCGCCGTGCCGCACTCACCGATGCCGCTGGGCAGCCCGTACCGGGGCCCGGGGCTGCGGAGCGGGGCCGGCACGGGCACCCGGGGCCGGTGCGGTCTCCAGGGGCCCACCCAGCTGTCGTTTGACATGGGGGGGGGATTCTGCTGGTGCCGCCTCGGCCTCGCCCCCCCCGCCAGTGCCCTCGGGGGGAGATGTGGGTACCCCCAGCTGCCCGGGGTGGCAGCAGCGGCCTCGGCGTGCGGTGGTGGCGCTGGTGGTGGCAGCGGCGCCGTGGTGACAAGTGACACTGCCGCGGGGCAGAGGGTGCCAGCAACGGCGGCGTGGTGGCAGTGGTGTCACAATGGTCGCGGGGTTCCAGCGTTTTGTCGCCACCACCGCGGGGTGACAACAGTGAGAGCGCCGGGGAAGGAACGCCGGGAACCCCGTGGATACACCCCAAAATTATACCCCAAAAATACACTCCATGGATACAACCCAGTGGATACAACTCAAAAATTCACCCCATGGATACACCACAAAAATCCACCCCAAAAATCCACCCCATGGATATAACCTGTTGGATACGTCTCAAAAATCCACCCCAAAAATCCACCCCGTGGGTACACCACAAAAATACACCCCAAAAATTCACCCCATGGGTACATGCCACAGATACAGCCCCAGCACCCCATGGATGCACCCACCATACCCTATATCTGACCCCCCAGAACCCCAGGGAGAGGACAGGAGGGACACGGAGACACAGGAGCACAAGGACGGAGGGACAGGAGGGGACATGGGGGACACAGGAACACAGAAACTGTCTGAGACCCCAGGGGCTGCTCCTTCTCTTGGGGACACCTCTGTCCTGGGGACATCCTTTCTCTTGGGGACACCCCATCCCTTAGAGTCACCCCTTCTCTTGGGGACACTTCTGGTCGTGTCCCCCCTCCATCCTCCCGTGGGGAGCTCGGGGGTCACGCGGGGCCGGGGGTCGCCGTCCCCTGTCGGTGTCACCCGCGGGGCGCAGACACAGCAAAGGGACACGGGGGGGTCCCGGTGCTTCCGTCACTTTATTGGGGGGTCCCGGTGTAGGGGGGGCTGG